AGATTTCGTCTTTCCTGCGATTACAGACGCAAAAGGTGGCCAGCTGTAAGCCTACACACTTCTTATACCCAATTCTGTGATCATAATGAGGCATAAATTGGTTTGGTTGGTTACATCTTGCTAATCCTACATGCGTGCAGATGAGAGAAGTTGATTCAGGATGTGATTGCAGCTGCTTCTTCACACAAATAAACTAGCGTACAATCCTCTAATGTTGCTGCACGCTTAGGCATGCGGTATTGTGTATTGTTTGTGTGCAGTGTTCAAGTTATGTGTGGTTTGGGGTCCTGTCCAGATTCAAAGCTATTCAAGTCTCCTATTTCTCAATTGTTCTTCATGCTATCTATCTTCCTCTCTCTCTTTAGCCTATCCATCTGCCATTAATATTTCATATTTACTTTCCTACGGCCTCCCTCCTTTCCAGAATGCTGGTTGTTTTTCGCTTATAAGTAGGTTTTCGAGACTACCCGTGGATCGTATATATGAGATGTACTCACTCTATTTCGTTAAGGTAATTATGGGACTGGCAATTCAATTTTCACATAATCATAATAATAGACATTATATTTCAATTGAATTTCACATAGCCTTGCTTACCAAAAGGTATTCTCATTTATGCACAAGTGGATTGCCGTTTCAACCTCGCCAAGGTCTCGTAAGCACCTCCAGCGGGACTCGAGCCGTGACAATGCAACGTATAATCTCGACACATCAGCCACTACGCCAAACTGTTACGAGTGCCCTGGGGTCAGAGGGCAGGTGTGAATTTCATAGAAAGCCAGGCTTTTTCCAATATCACATTCTGTGATACAACTTTGCTTCATCGACACTTCCACCAGAGAATGTGATATGGGAAAATGCCTGGCCTTCTATGAAATTCACACCTGCCCTCTGACTCAAGGGCACTCGCAACAATTTGACGTAGTGGCTGATGTGTCGAGATTATGTGCTGCATTATCACGGCTCGAGTCCCGCTGGAGGTGCTTACGAGACCTTGGCTAGGTTTAAACGGCAATCCACTTCGGCCTAAATGAGAATACCTTCTGGTAAGCAAGACTATGTTAAATTCAATTCAAATGTAAGGTCTACTTCTATGAAAATTGAAATGCCAGTCTCATAAATTACCTTCAATTATATAGGGTGAATACAGACCATATGGTGATGTTTTGTTTATTTCTTTTTCCTCCTTTATCTTAATCGTATTCAGCCACTTCAGATTATTGGAGGCATAGACCTGTGCAGGCGGTTATGAGCTCATACAACCTCTACATGGATTTCAGTCTCCCTCACACAAACATTTCGACATGATCACAAAACCATGTAACATCCTGAGCTAGAAAGAGGGCCTGAAAACTCTTGAAAGGAATACACGGTTAATAAAAGTGTTAGTTTCATGCTCCATTCCTCAGTAGACGAGTTAACTTTTTCGCAAAATGTCCTAAATAATTATTTCTCTACCCTCTATTTCTAAGTGTTGAGAAGTGATTATCTTTAATCTATGTGACAAATGGTTGTGGGCGAAGAAAGGTTGGGTTTCGAGGAATCCCTTTTTTCAAAATTGTTGAGCGTATTTACATTTCAAGTGAAAGTGTTTGGTGATGAGATTCGAAGATAGATCCCACCAGCAGTCAATTGGCTTTACTTAAACATTCGCTGTTTCAGAGGTGATCTCCTTCGATTCCGGCGAAAACGTGTTAAGCTTACGTCCGTCGTATAACGAACATCATCAAAGCAGGATATCTTCCTTACACCCAAATTCAAGCTAACGAGTCAAAGAATTGTGTTGTAAGGATGTTACCCTGCTCTGATGGTGTTTGTCATACGACGGACGTAAGCTTACTACGTTTTCACCGGAATCGAAGGATATTACCTCGGAAATAGCGTCAATAAAAATGTTCCAGTTGAGCCAATCGACTGCTGCTCTAGAGGAATACACCGTCGTCTTCTGATGGGAATCACATCTAATCTTCCCATTAATTCAAGGAATTCCTCCAGTCTATCTTTGCCCAATCGCCAAATATCAAACTTAGCGTCCATATACATAAGAATTAAAATTTAGGCTTTCGAGGCTACCACTTGGTTCTATATGTGAGATGTATTCATCCTATTTCATTTAAAGTGATAAGGGAGTTGAATTTGGGAAAGCAAAGCTATGTGAAATTCAATGAAAATGTCATGTCTACTCACATTATTGTGAAATAATTCAACTGTCAGTCTTCTTATCATCCTAAACGAAATAGGATAAATAAATTTCACGATCTAACCCCTAATTGGAACAATTAATTATTTGCTAAAATTGAGGCTGAATAAGATTCCCTAGATTTACCCTATTTTTACTCATTTTAATTGCTGCTATTCGTGACTAGATTGATTGATCTTATGATTGAATATTCGCCTAATTTGTTAACTATTATGATTTCAGGATGTAAAATATAAAGTTAACTCTGATGCCTTCGTTGCCAAATTTAACGGAATATGAGTAAAAGTTTCTTTTAAACCTAGTTTCTCCTCGTATAAATGATTTGTCTCGAGATCTGACCGATTTATTGGCTAGACGGTTCCTGTAGTACCGGGAAGCGCCTCTTGTTCGCGCTTGTTTTGCTCGCCCTTCTCGGACAGGAGGTCTAAGTGGTTTGTAGAATTGACGACGCGGTACCCTTTGGATATGCTGGACAGTTGGTTTTCGTCTTTTTCGCAACTTGTCCAGTCCTCCCCCCTCCGCTCCACCATTCATGCTCATTCCAGCACTAGTCTGTTGCCTTAGTGCACTTCTTGACGTTCTGCCCACCTCGTGAGTGAGAAGCGGGAGCCGAGGGATTATGGCCAGCCAGCCTGTTAGACGGTACGTAGAACGGCTGATATGTGTTGGTCGCCAAGTGGGCAAGCACCGGTTTGGCAGAAGAGGCACTGGGGCTGGCATGTGAAACTGGGTAGTCGGGAGGATCATGCCTGCGAGACGTCGGGAAAACTGCCAAGTCACAGTTCGATGCTGAAGGGTCGCCCTGACGATGAGTTGAGGCAGGTTGGGAAAACATGTTCACACCAAGTCAGAGAGTTGGGCAGGCCCGGGATGGGTGTCAACTGTGGGCCAGTGTGTTCAAGTGGCCTATTTCCTAATCACACCCTCCCTGGCGCAGTATTGGGGCGCACTACCACTTCCCTGGTCCACAGTCTCCCTCGCGTCGGTCGCAGGCACGCCAGAAACGGGAAGGCATCCATTTGTCGGGTCTCCTGGTCGGCGCCTCAGAGACTGGCTCCGATTCCGGCGCCTCGCAGCCCTGGCAACCGGCCGAGCAGACAGAGGCCGATTTCGGATGGGTGTATGACGCCGTCTTTGGCAACTCGACCCGGTCCTGCGTCTCGGATGCGACCGCCATCTGGGCCCACGTGTCGGGGGCGCGTTCGCTCGCCGATTTCTGCGATGACGACGATGACGACGACGACGACGATGACGCCGACGCAGGGGAGCTCGTCTGCCTCGGCGAGCCGTCGTGGGGCACTCGCTGCAGCCTGACCGACCCCTTTCGAGGCTCGGTCAACGGGACTTCGGTGGTGGACAACGAGCCGGTGAAGATGCGCCCGGGCGCCGAGACGCGATATCGGCACCGGTCACGGTCACATCGCCAGACCAGGCCCACCGGCATCCCAAGGCATTGGAGCGATCAGGGACCTTGGACCATTCCGGACATCCGGCTTTCCATCACCATCCGCCTCTCCTCACAGCCTCCCACGGACGCTGGCCTTCAGGTGCCGAGGTTGGTCGACCCGGTGCCTTCACGCCCAGCGCAGAAGGCGGGCAAGACCTGGAAGAGCAGCAGAATGGCGAAACGGCCCTCAGATGCTGAGATGAGTGTCTGTGAGGTCGCCCTCGTCTGCAATCGTAAGCCACCTCAGACGTATCCAATGCTTGATTTCCACTCCGCACCCCGTGACTGGGCCAATCTAAAGTGTCCAAATGTCTGCCTCCTCAGCTTTGTGCTGTGAAAGGGTGTGATGAAGAGATTCATGGCATCAGCTCGCCAAAAGAGGTTGGATTTCACCCACCTCTTCAGGTAGACGCAGTCCACCGGACATCCTCCTTCGATTCAAGTACAAAAAACTGATTTTTAAGGAATCACTTACTAGAATGATGTTGGAGTACCTTTCATTTAGTTTGAAGAAACGAGTTTAATGGATTTATAAATTGGCCTCTTCCGAATCTGCACGAAAACTCAGCATGGATTCATCGGAGTCGCGGGACGGTGAGCCGAGGACTTATTTGCACAAATCTGTAGGCTATCTCTCTATAGCTTCTGGTGAGGCTAATTCACGAATCCCTTCCACTTGTCTCTTCAAACGAAATTAAATGTATTCTAGCAATAAACAAATTGAGCCTGCGTCTGTCGAGCCATTCTTTTACCAGGCCAACTTTTATTGTCTCAGTTCATTCAGATCGGGTTTCGAAACTACCAATAGACCTTGCACAAAAGCCAAAGTCACACTTGGTTACCTAAACTAAATTTCTCATAATACTATGAGTAAGCTTTACGTTTTAATTGAACTTCACATAGCCTTACTTCCTACACGGTGTTCTCGGCAAGGCTGGTTTGGACTACACTTTCGACTTCAACTGGAATCGAATCCAGCTTGTGGTAGAACAATGTTTAATTTCGACATGTTGCCACTACACTTGAGGTTCTGATAAGTCTACAGGTTAGGTAAGATGAGAATAGCTTTTGGGAGGCAAATATAAGTGGCATTTTATGACATCCCAAAGCCAAATCGTCTCAGTGTGGCGAAATTCAATTATCAATCCTTCATCACATAAAACGACCTAGAGTGACTATAGTTTCTATTCAAGGTGTATTGGCAGTATAGAAGCATATTTAGAGTGAACCAAGAATAGAAGACTGAAAATATTGAAAGAGCGAGACCCAGATCTAATGATGTCTGTCTAGCAGCATAACAAACGGAAGCCCAGTCTATAAAAGCTGTATTTGCCCTATTTCCCTTAAGTTGATAAAGGACTAGTAGTTAAATTTTCACACAATCATATGAAAAATGCCTAATGCTTACAGTTAGTTTCACATTGCCTGGCTTCCCTATAGGTACTCCCATTTAGGCATGATTGAATTGCAATTTCGAGTGCGCCTGAGCCTCATCAACATCCCCAACGAGACTCGAACCCAGTTTGTATTAGTGCGGCGTACAGAATAGACACGCTAGTAACCATGCCACACTGTCACGAGTGCCCTTAGACCACTGTGCGAACGCTAATTGCAGGGAAGACCAGGCCTTTTCCATATCCATGTCTAATGTGGTAAGATTCAACTAGCATTCCTTAATCACTCTTTAAAGATCTTCTGGTGGCCTCGAAAGTCTCCTTATAAACGAAAAAGAAAACCTTTTCTGTTTTCACTAAAATTGGAGGAGAATGTCTCGTGAATTTAATTAATCAGAAAGTCGTGGTAATATTAAATGACTGCAGAACTTGGCAAATTAGGCACCTCTTTATGGTGAGATAGACCTATAAAATTCTTCATCAGGCACATTCACATTGAGGTCTCAAACACTGCTATCCCATTCCATGAAAGGTTGCATATACTTCAGCCCTACCTTTGCCAAACTATTCAGTTTATCGTAGTTGTTTGACCTTGTTTTCGCAACTTGATCATATCGGCAGGAAAGACCTAGATGAACGCACTTTGTCAGGAGTCCATAGTATGCATGATAATTTTTAGGGTCGGACCATAGACTTGGTGCATTCCTAGACGTTGAGCCGGTATCGTAGTCGGCATCATCAGTGAAGCTTGCCAGTCTCAGCATCCAAGCTACAACTCGTCAAAAGATACAAGTTAAATCAACTTTCTGTTGAGACGGCTTCGCTATCACTCCTCGTTTTGTCCTGGTCCCCCTATCCATTTCCTACCCTCTTGTCTCGCTCTCGTCCTATCACAACTTCTGATACGTTTATATTCCACGAGAGATGTGACCTTTTCGCGAACTTACCGTGGCGTCATCACACCTGCCTTTTGCCTTGCTCCTCTCCCTTTCGAGTGGCTGATCCGACTCCAGCCTCCTGTCCGGATTCGCCTCATAAGCCCCTAGATCAGTTTCTAATCTTTCTGGTTGGCCCATTTCATTTTGTTCCAGCCCCAATACACTTTTACTTCAAGTGCTATTTCTCAAGCCTCCAGTAGCTCGCACAAAGTCGCCTCATCTGCAGAGCGTCTTGGCTATGATTTCCATGGTTGCGGATATTAGCCATTGCCTTCACATATCATCTCCTCGATTAAACCCGTGTGCCCTGAGCAAACTGTGGACATCTATCTCTGGTCTCTTGCTGCATCTCGACTGAATTATTGATGAATTTGGTCACAATGCCCAATTTATGTGACAATCTCTCTCCCTAGTCACAAGAAACGTCAATCCCCCAAAGTTCTAATTGTTTATTCAAGCTGACTACATTCACTGAGACCGTCTTCGCTTATTTCCGAAATTCTCTCGCTCTTCCTTCTTGCGATCCCTTTTCCTCTGCTTTACGATGGCTCCTTGATCCAGAAGTCTGTCTCCTTTTTGCTTGTCTTATTGTATCCTTGTTTTCTCCTAGTCTGATTAGGATATAGGCAGAGTTATCACTATGCAGCAAAACTTAGTTTCGAAGAATCCCTTAATAGATCTATGTTGGAATACCTTTTATTTCGTTTGAAAAGGCGAGTGGAAGGGATTCGTAAGTTGGTTCTACTGGAGGCTGTGGAGGAGTTGCCTTGGAGCTGTGGTTGTAGACTAGTGCGAATAGGTCCTCGGCGCACCGCCCTGAGACCCCGATGAATTATTGCTGAGCTTTCGTCCGTCATGTGTCTGACATCGTCAGAGCAGGACACCATGGTTAACGATAATTCACCAAAAACACGAAGGCAAGAAAGGTGGCGGGCTTCAAACCTACTTCCTTCTTGTGGTCCAATTCGGTGCACTTATGCATCTCAAGTTTTGGTTGGATGTCCTATGATTTGTCTCTAGATTTGCTCATAAGTTAAGTTGAGTGGCTGCGGATGAAGTGTGAACCAGCTGCAGATGAAGTGTGAAATGGGTGCAATTGAAACCGAACAGCTGCATCCTCCTCTAAAACACTTATGCCTTTGATCCGATT